AGACATAGACAGAGAGAAAGAGAGATATGGAGAAAGAGGGGGAAGGGAGGGAGGGACTGATGACAGAGAGACAGATAGAGACAGAGACAGAGACAGATAGAGACAGAGACAGAGACAGAAAGAGACAGAGATAGAGACAGAGACAGAGAGAAAGAGACAGATAGAGACAGAGACAAATAGAGACAGAGACAGATAGAGACAGAGACAGAGACAGAGACAGACAGATAGAGACAGAGACAGAGACAAAGACAGATAGAGACAGAGACAAATAGAGACAGAGACAGAGACAGAGACAGAGACAGAGACAGATAGAGACAGAGACAGAGACAGATAGAGACAGAGACAAATAGAGACAGAGACAGATAGAGACAGAGACAGAGACAGACAGATAGAGACAAAGACAGAGACAGAGACAGATAGAGACAGACAGAGAGAGAGAGGGCGGGGAGGGACAGAGAGACAGACAGAGGGGGATATAGACAAACACACACACAGAAACAACAGGTAAACGATGGTATTGAAATAATGATAGCATCAAATGATAACGTACAAACGGTGTGTTTTCGAATCTTGAAATTCATTCCAGCAGGCAAATGTTTCTAGGCTGCCACGGAACATTATCAATATTACAAGTGAGAACTACACAGAAAAGGTACGATATCTTACCTGTCTGGGATGTTCAATCCTGAGGTCTGTATTTATCCACCTGGCGATGTTACCAACACTATGTTATAATATGTCGTAGTCCCCGATACACACACGACTATATATGTTTAATGAACAGCACTGTTTATTCTGTGTTTGCCATATAGAAAACACTCTCCCGTTATTGAGGCAGGTGATGTATTTTTACCTGCGATTGGTAACGAGGTGTTTGTGCGCCACAGGTAATGTTTAAATGTCCTCACAACCACTTCTGCTGGCCGATATAAACAGAGTGCCGCTTAACATGTCTTATTTATAGGAATATACCGTACATATAGATTCCCACTTCACACATGGTATCTGCTCGAGGGAAGTAATACAATTAAGCATCAACATGATAGTGAATACCAGTTTTGTTAGCACGTGAAATTAACAATAGATGTTATTCGGCAGTTGATCTCGGAGACAGTATGTAATGCTAGTCTTTATCCACATACTTGAACGTGAAAATTGTGACAGGCATAATCTAAAACCTTCCTAAAACAGAATGTTCGAACAAATCCTCGCGTTTTCTTGAACATGGAAACATAACTAATTCTTGAACATGAAACATAACTAGTTTTAAATATGATATTAAATATACAAGTTATATTTGATTGTAACCGTTTTCGGTGTATTGAATGTTGCTGGGGTTTTTTTTTTGGGGGGGG